GAAAATTCAAGCTTTATCTAATTCGATATTTTACCCTAAAAGTAATTCATCTAACTTTTCTCTTTTGAGTTCAACCATCTATACGATTAGGTCCATACGACTGGAGACTTAATTGTCCATTAATTCTAGAATTCGTGTTGTTGTGTGATCTTATATTGAAATACTACAGCATGGATATGCTAATACTCCAGCATTGTTTCGCAAAATCATCACTCTTCCTAATGCTCCAACAACATCACTGTGATTTGCTATAGCAAATTTGGATTTGCTTTCTTTACTTTAAAAATCATTCAAGGTAAGTTCAAAAACTCTCACTAATTGCACACATGATTAAAAAAAATGATATCTACCACTTAAAATGTTTTCACATATGGCTCCTCTTTCTTAATAATAACCACTATTTCTAAAAATAAATAAATAAATAACCCTCAAATTCTATAATAAACATTATGCACTCCAATTAGGCAATTAATAAAGTTAAAATGTGAGATAAATAACTCTTTTTCAAAAGTTATCAAGTATCTAGTTGAGCTTATATAGACTTCAATAGACTGCGTACCTTTGAAAATGTGGGACTCCACATTTTATAAGAGGGGAGGATTGGAAATCGAAGTTATGCCACTGTGGCTGGCATATCTGTCATTCATGGTTGTTGCACCGATAATTGGTCATTTGACAGCATATTCATCCTTCTATTTAATGTTAGCTAAATTCCTACAAGTTAGAATCTTCCAAGGTGGGAGCCTTGCTCAGCTATTTCTTTCAAAGTCATGAGCCCTTCCTCCTCGTCCTTCGAGTGTGCGAGCTAAGGCGTAACCACACGTCTTTTGGTGGGGGAGGGCCAAGGATTTTACTTTATTTTATCCCATAGAAGAACCTTCAGCCACCTTATCCACTGAGTTATGCTCAGATTGATTGATGTTGCACTATAACTCTAAAGTAATACATATACATTTAACGATATGAGATGTGATATTCTTCCAACTAAACTAAATCTTTTGAAAAGAAAAAATTAATAGTTCAAACCTCATTTGATGACAATTTTGTTTTTAGTTTCCTTTTTTGTAAAGGTTATATGCTTGCGTACTCATAATTTCTGGGTCATATTTTTCTCCATTCTTAAAAAGCACATTTGAATTTTTAACCAAATTTCAAAAATAAAAACAAATTTTTGAAAACTACTATTTTTTGTTTACAAACTTTTTATTAGATTTTGCAAATGTTATAGGGAGAAAATAGAGATAAACAACTGTAAAGAGGAAAGAAAGTCGAAGAAGGAGCAGACCCCAAGAGAGGTAAGTGGGTCAGAGCACAGTAACCTAGGCCAGCCATAGCCGACCCAAGGTTGGCACTGCTCGGCGCCGACCAGACCTTGGCGCCGAGAACTGCTCCGCACCAAGGAGTTCTCGGCCCAATGGCCGAGAACCTCTTTGATGTGCCCGACCCCTGCATAGCCCAATCCAAGTCGACTTCGTCTCGGCCCTGAATGCAGCATGAGGCCCATTCCATCTAAGATCTCCTGAGTGCATTAGGATTCAACTTATGTAAATCCTAAAGGGAATAGGATTCAACTAATGTAAATCCTGAAGGGATTGAGATTCGACCTCAATAAATAGGAGACTAAGCTAAACCCTAAAGGTATGTTCACAACACCCTACACTTTATACTCAACTTGTCTGATCCTAACTTAAGCATCGGAGCCTGTGTGGCAAGAGCCACACCGGTTTTAGTGTTATTCTATTTTGTAGGTCTCGTCGATCCTTTTATTCTAAAAGATTGGTGTGAATTTGACAAAATCTCAGGAAGTCAAATTTCGGCATCAACAACAAACATTTTTTAAAAAGTAGATAATAAAATAAATAAATATATAGGAGAAAGTATTGTTTACAAGCTTACTTTTCAAATTAGAAAACCAAAAGCAAATGGGTTATCAAATGAGGCCTTAAAAAATAATACTGGTCCTTGTACTTTAGTTGAAGTACAATGTAGTCCTAAACTTTAGTATATCACCATTTAGTCCATAAACTTTAATATATAACAATTTAGTCATTTGTAATGATTTAATCCCTAACCCCTACCATGTAAAATATTGTTAAGGCAATACCTTAAGGACCCAATGCATTTATAAACTGCGATACTAAATTATTACATAATAAAAATTGATACTTTACCTTGTGGATTTTCATGGAAGGGACTAAATCTTAACAAATTTTAAACTAGGTGAACGAAATTATTACACACTAGAGTTTAGAGACAAAACAATTACAAATAAAAGTATAGGAATCAAAGCATTACATACTTAGAAAGAGTCTGATAGTAAATGGTTACTTCAATGAAAGTTTTAACCAATCATTCATTTATTTATCTTTGTTATTTTTGTGGTAAAAGGGGGAACCAACAACCCATGTGCTTTGAAGCTGCAAAAAGGCAAAGGATGATATGGAAAGAGTGAGTTGCTGCCAAGGAATTTCATGACTTTCTTGCATTTGAAGATCAAATATTTTCAAGTTTCAGTTCTACTTTGGTTGGAATCGTGGAATTCTGAGAAACCAACTTCAAAAGGTAAAGAAATCAATGCAATGGAAATCAGAAAAATAAATAAAAATAAAAAACTTCAAATTGTTCACAAAGTTCATACCTCCGCACGTGACAAGAGCAAGTTAATTGCCTCTCCACTTGACTACAAAAGGACCCAAACGTGTCAAATCATAATTGGCTCATTTTCCTTCCACTACTAAACAGTTGAAAATAAAAGCTAACATGAGCTTATTTTAGTAATAACTGGCACCTATTGTTCAAACCCTCATACCTCTCATTTGTTGTAAAAAAAAAAGTAAAACATAAAAATGTTAAATTACAAATCTAGTCCCTGAACTTTCATAATTTTGTCAGATATATCTCTCAATTATGAAAAATTGGTCTACTAGATGTTCTTTTAAATTTTACCATCTTATTTGACACAAAATTGAATTTGGTGTCAACTTTGATTTTAAAATTTTTTGTCTAATAAATTGGTGAATTTTAAAATGTGTCAAATAGATCATAAATTAACCGACACAAATTTTGAAGTTTAAAAAATCACTACATTTTTCAAATTCAAGAACCTATTAATCAAAATAAATATTTATGCACTATTATTTTAAAGTTTAAAATCTATTAGACAACACCATGAAAGTTTATAGACTGGACATTGCTCAATTTATTATTATTATTATGGATCAATCAATCATATTGGTGGGATTAAGGCAAATTAGTCTTAATTTATGATTTGCCATTACCCATATTTTTTGTACTTACTTTTCATATATTTTGATTTTTTTTTCTTTTTTGAGCTTTATTTGTACTTTTATAATTTGGTTACCTCTATTACATTTCTCACTAAGTTTAGTTGATTGGTTAAAGTTATATCTCATCTAATTCCGTTGGTCAAAGTATAAAATTGAAAAATAGTCTACCGATTCAACTAGATACATTTAGAAAGTTTTGGTCATGTTCAATCTAGTTTTGGTCCATTTGATAATCAAGTTGTATTAATTCGAGTCCATTTACTTTTTCTTGGACATTAGTTTAGGGTAAAATCGATCCAAACCGACCCGCTTACACTCCTAGCTGATAATAAACATAGATATTTGACACCTCAAACAACCCAAATCTTAGAGCAAAAAGATTTGGCAACAAAAATCCACAGACTAACACTGTTTTAGTTCTCTTGACCTATCTTCTTAAATGTGAAGTCATCAACTCTCTCTCTAGTAAACACAGCTATTAAGATATTTGTCAGTACAAATCATAACTACAAAACATTTACAAATATCATATTACCAAAATCCAGTTAAACTCAGAAGAAAAAAGGACAACTCCTTTCAGAATATCCATATTGGAAACAATGCAAAATACAAAATGAAGACCTTTTTTTTTCCCTCTTTAACCCCAGAGGAAAAATCCCAACTTCATGACTGAACTGTTATGTCCAAATTGCTTCTCTGCTCAGGAATCTTAGCAGCAGTTGTTTTTGTTGTCTCTTTCTCCTGATTTACTCGGTCCTTCACCCTCATACTGTTACTCCGCCCGCTGATATGCCCCTTAGTTTTCGGAGTCGTTGTCGTCAGACTAGTTGGCTCTGCTCTGATACTACCGAGGCTATGTCGTTTCACTCGAGCACATACTTTTCCCTTCTCTAGATTTGGGTTAACTGCATCGCCACAGCTTCTTCTCCTAGTAAAATTCGGTGACTTGGGCCGAGTCAATGGCAGCTGCAATGACCGATACAGAATAAGCTAAAGCTTAAGAATTGTAACCAAAAAATGGAGGTTGTGACTTGAAGAGAGATTGATTCTTCAAACTCTCACCTTCTTGAGCTCAACTTTGGGTGGGGGTCCCTCATAGTAGAAAGTAGGCACTGGATTTGCTTTGATGACTAAACTCTTCCTCAGTTGCTTGATGGCTGCTTCTTGCTCTTCCTATGAAATCCACATCACAATGTGTTTTTCTTTTAAGTGAAAACAAAATCTAAGAGTTTGATCATTTCAAGACGATTTAACAAGCAATCACAAGTTGAAAAGGAAAAATGAGAAAGGGTGTCGAGAATATACGATATCCTAATAGCTTTAGTTTTTTGGTTAGTGGAGACTTAGGATACTATTCTAAGCATAATGTCCTGTGTTTGAATCCGTACAATATCGTTTTCTCCCCAATTAATATTAATATACACATGAATCAAATTAATATTTGAATCCTAATGCGAGGGACTAAAGATTAAACATACTCTAACTTATTAGCTTTAAACCGTGAACTCTAAATCCTAGACTTTAGAGTTTAGTAGTGACTAAATGTCGGTACCATAGAAGAGAGAAATCATCAATATCTTCTATTTAATTGATATTAATAGCTCATACACTAATTTTCATGAATCAAGTAAATATTCGAGCTCACATGTAAGGGATAGCAGCGCTGAGAATATATATAAAAGATTAAACTATAACCAATCCGCTTAACTTTTAGAGTTAGCGGTAATTAAAAATTAAATAAAAAAAAACAAAGCTACCTTTGTTCTAGCTTCATATTGGCTTTTCTCTGCCTGCAAAGCTTGGTGTTTCTCCTCCAACTTTTGGTAAAACTGAAAAAAAGGAATTTAGATCATGAAAACGAATACGACTTAATGGTGTCCATAATATCGACAATGTTTGCAATTCGCAATGCTAGCTAAGTTACCTCCTTCCTTCTCTCAGCACGACTAGCTGATCGGAAAGTCGGAGCCACTCCAACAGTTACCTTAGATTTCACAGAAGTAGCAGTACTAAACATGGCTAAGGATCATACAAACCAAAGATGAAGTGGAAATGATTGCATACGAAATAATTTTAATTACTGAATGTAAAAGTATTTTCATCTAGAAAAGGATACGAGGAAGTGATTGACCAATTATCCTCTTCATCGTGGTATTTTTTATCCAGCTGCAGGTGCTTCCTTAGTGAAAGAGGTGAATTTGGCTGTAAACAACAGAAAAAATTTAACCATGAATCATCATTTTCAAACTGTTTCAATAAAAAAACCATAAATAATTGGCTCAACCTTTACAATAATACATCACAATGATATAACTCTTAAGCCAAACTGAAAGAGTGAAGGCAAACATTAATTTCATTTCTTTCATCAATTCTTATGACATTATGCATATTTTAAAGAAGAGAAAATCCCCAAATTGACCCAGATATGACAAGCAATTATGAATCTAATTACCTGAGAGTTCTTCTTAGCACTAGGAGATTGCATATTTGGTGAAATGTTGACACCTCCCGTGGTAGTAGCATCATTTCCGATAGTATGTGTGCACGGACCGCGCTTTTCAGTTTCCAACGTAAACGGTTGAGGAACGGTGTATTGCCCTCGCATATTCCCGGGAGATTTTGATCCAACTGGGCTTGATTTCTTGTCTTCACCGAACTTCTCGGCTCCAGACTTCTCGTACTTCTCCTCCGAGTCAAGATTTGTCCTTTTAACACTTAACACTTCTTGCTTCTCATGATATTTCTCAATGATTAAGTTCTCTTCAGTACATTCCTTCACTTCATAGTCCTTGGCCTCAACGTTTCTCTCTGCAACTCGGGGGGCAACAAGAACCATGTCATGTGCAACCCCGTTCGGCTTTTGCTCAACTTGTACAGATCTCGGCTCCCTCCCCATTGATACTGTATAAGGTGAGCAGTTAATCTTTCAACAGTTCCAGCCATAAACTTCCGCACACAAGTACTTCATAGACTTTGTATTTTATTTTAAATTACAGTATCAAATTGCTTACGGATTTACATTAATTGAGATCTAAAATGTAACATTTCAAAGGATAAGGGGAAGATGAGTAATTGTGAAAAATGCAAAAAACCGTAATATAGGATTTAAAAGAAAGAAAAAACACTTCAATAGAGTTAGCAGCAACAATTTAGATTCAACTGAGAGGATAGAGAGAGAGATTTGATGAATCTTATAACCAAATCAAAGCATGAGAAAAATTAAGAAACTAAAACAAGGTTATTTGCCAGTTTAACCACCATATAACCAAATACAGCACATCCAGGAAAATCTCTAATATTCATTAAAAAGAGATAATATAAAAAGAGAGAAAAAAAAATCAATTTTAACCTCTAAACTTTCAGTCATCAAACTGGACCCAAGACTAAGATAAGTATTACAAATTTCACCCTCTAATTCACTCACTCGACCCAAAAAAAAAACACGGTAAAATTTTATAAAACTCACTAATTTCAATAAAACCAAGCTTGGTACAAAACGAAGTTGGATCAATACATAAAGCCGACCATTGAATAACAGTCAAAAGTCATAAATTTCAATTAAAATAACCAACTCCAATGTTGTTTGTATCTGAAATTCAGTATCTTTCATTTCAAGTATATGTTTTATAATTCATTGAACGCTCTACATTTTTTAGCGATTCTTCGATCGAAAACTTAGCAGAAGGTCAGAATTACAAAGCTTATTCAAGTTTAAGGTAAAGATCGTAACATACGTTTATCTAAGTTTAAGATGCAATTCGATGAAATTAAAATTTTAGGATAAAAAATGATACACCTTGTCAATTTCATGCTAAATATTGGTTCTTCCCCCCAAAAAAACATAAAAACAAGAGGAAATTTTCCAAGGTGATTTCTTGATGACTGAGCTGAATGAACTCCAGAACTTAAAGAAGGCAAAGGCCAAAAAGGCAAAAACCAAGAACTCAACTCTGTTATTTTATAGTTTAAGAAGAACCCTTCATAGGAAAAGGAAAAAATATAAGAAATGAAACAGAACTACTGATCTTCTCCATGTATTTAACAAGCTGATTTGGAAACAAAAAACTATAATTAGAAATTTCCAAAAAAAAAAAAAAAAGAAGAAAAAACTTACAGAAAGAAGCAAAGATTCAAGAGACATAAGGCAGAGGAGAGAAGCAAATGAAAAATCAATCTGAATTTGAAAACTCAAAGGCTAAAGGAGACAACCAAAAGACAAATCAATCCTTAACCTCACAAGTCAAAGAAACCAACCGACCACTCTTAATGGAAAATGAAAGCCCACGACTCCAAAAACCCCTTTAAATCCTTTTTGACCAAAAAAAAGAAAAGCTAAGAATTAAAATAATTATTCATTATTCCACCACTAACTTTCAAAGAGAAACCCATCAAAAAGAGACCAAAGTTTCGTGGAAATAGAGTCACATTTCAGCAAGAACAACTCAAAAATTTCCAAAATAGAACCAGAGAGACCTGAAATTGGAAACAGAAATAGACAGAGCAGTACAAACCCACCAAAAAAATAGAGACCAAAATTTGGTGGAATTATAGTGACATTTGAGCAAGAACAACCTCAGGAATTTGAAGTGCAAAAAAATTAGGTGAATTTGAGAGCAGCCTCCATTTGAAAGTAAGATCCAAACCCACAATTTTAGAAACAAGAAATTAAAAAGGAAGTAGAAAAAATCACTCACCGTGTGAAGTATTATGGATCAGATAATGTGAAGGATTGGGCAGCAGCTTGTTGCTCCCTCGATCTGAATCCCCTTCTCTTCTCTGAATAACAAGACAAACTCAAAAATGTTTTTTTTTCCTCTTTTTTTTTTATAATTGCTCGTGGAGATTTTCGTTCCCCTTCCTCACCCTCAGTGACGTGCTCCAAAAATTGTCCTTTGGGTGTTGAGCCGTGGGCGGTGGCCTCGCTTCCATTTATATATAATTTGTACAGTGAATTTTTAGATTTTCTTTTTCTTTTTTTAGGGAAGTTTTATGGATATAATTATCTCTTTTTTTTTTCTTTGTTTTTCACAGATGGAAACACAAGGATAATTGAGTTATGTTGATATTAGTTTTTATGATGAATCGAACTTTAGAGAAGTTATTTTTAGGTTAAATATATATTTTAATCTTTTAACTTTTCAATTTTTTTCTTTTATTTTAGTTTAAGGGCGTCCAAAAAATCGATCGCCCCAACCCAATTTGTGGAGTTTAGGTTGGGTTATAAACTCGGTTCGAATAAATAAAAATTGTATAAGTTGGTTGGTTCAAAAGTTCACCCAAAATAAATTTGGGTTGAATCGAGTTTTTTTTTTTTTTAACAAGGGTTGAATCGAACTCATTTGAACTTATTATAAATTTTTTAACTATTGCTTTTACTCAATGTAAAATTTATATTTATTTATATTTATTTTAATTTTATCTCATTCAATAATCAGGATTATTTGTTCTAAACCGCTTTTAAAAACAACTTTTTTTTTTGTTTTTGGAGTGTATTTTTTTACTATTTAAATAAACATCGACTTACAATCTTAATTCAATGTTAGGTAATATATATAATGACGATACTTTGAATAAGTTACTCGAATAACTCGAATCAATCCAACTTAAATATTTTATGGATTGGTTGGGTTGGATATATTATTTAATAAGAGTTTTTTTTGTTGAATAAATTTACAATCCGAAAAAATGGGTTATGGTCTAAAAAGTATCTCAATCCAATCCAACCCAACCCACCCCCTAATTTTAGTCTCTATTATTTAAAATGTTTCTAATCTAATCTATCATTAGTGAAAAATGGTGAAATTGACTTTGCATGGTACAGTAGTGAATTGGTAGAAATTTAAAAGAGTACAACATTATTAATTAAGAGAAGAAAACTTTCCGAATTTAAACGATGAATTAGAAAATTTTCTCTTGTGTGACATTTTTTTCCTCTAGTCAATTCACTATGATTATGTCATGTAAATTCATAATTAGTCAATTTAATAATTTTAACATTAATTATGATAGTGAGTGACTAAATTAAAAGTATTAAAATATAAGGAATTAAATTAAAACTTTAGAAACCGAATTGAAAAAACATACCAATACGAGGGGCTAAAACATATGTTTTTAACTATTTTTTTTAATAATTTTTTTGTCTGGTTTGGCAGGTAAGTAACGGCGGGACGTCAAGTAACGGCATGAAATTTTGAAAGAGTGTGGAGGCAAGAAAACAAAGTTGCCTGTTGGGACGTGGGAGCCACCTGGCAATGTCAAATGGCCACAAATCAGATTTGTTGGGAGACCCTCTAATTTTATTAATCATCACAATAATGTAATTTGTTTTTAATTCTTTTCTTTTTGCTCCTGTCCATTCCTTAATAAAATTGTGTCAACTTTTCAAGTGTTGATGTACAAAATGGTCGGGATTTCTTTTTTATTTTATTTTTTCTGTTTTTAAATTTATGTAGATGCTCTTTCAGATAATAGGCAAAGTCCACGGGAGGAAGGAAGATAATTGTGGGGTTAAAAAGACATTATTATATGTCGACTTAAGCATCTCTTGACTATTGAATTAATTGTCAGTTACGTAGAGCCTAATAACTATAGGGGTATTGGTAAGATATTATAATAGAAGTTATCTCACATCTAAAAGCTACAAGGTTAATGTGTTCCAAATGTCATAAAACGAGCCTTGATATGGCTTTAGATTTTATTCATTTCAATTGAAACACTTTTAAGTCTGGTATTCTAGCTCTAGTAATTTGAACAGTATTTGCTTTGAGAGAGTGTTCTGTATAATTTGGATCGACAAGATAATTATGTAATAATTTTTCACATGGTGTATTTTCTTCGTGGGTTGTTGTTTTTCTGTGATTTGGTGTTTTTCTTGTAAATTCTTATGGTTTTTTTTATTTCTGAGTTATTTTCTGCTTATTCATGGGGTAGAAGTAGGGTTTTTTTTTTTAACTATAAAGTGGTATTAGAGTTTTAGGTTTTTAGTTTCTTGAATTTCTATGCTCTGTGATTGCAGCATTGTTTGAACTTCCACATTAGAATATATTTCTTAAATGAACTACGGTTCTGTGAATAATGCGGCTTGTTCAATATTTTAAGATTAGCTACGAGTGTGAAGTAGATATGTAAATCTTTATGAGTCCAGTGAAGATTGACGTGGAGAAATTTTACAGAATGATCAATTTCAGCTTATGACAAGTGCAAGTCAAAGATGTGTTGATACAATAATCTAGGTTACACAAGACGGAGAGACTGAATGATGGTGCTTCTGAAAAGCTAAGTGGTGATGGTAGTCGAGTGGAGTCAAGCAGTAATTTCAACAAAGGTTCTAAGAATTCCAATATGAGTGATGAAGATTGGGACGAAATGAATTTGAGGACTGTAAGCGCGATAGGAACAAGTTTGGTTAAGAATACCCTTACAAACGGTAGATGAAATTTCGACAGCCAAATAACTTTGGGAAAAGCTCGAAGCGTTTTACCAGGCAAAGGGCATTTCAAATATGTTTTATACCTGAAAAATCAGTTTCACACATTGCAAATGGAGGAGTTTCACGCGCTGCGAATGGAGGAATGATCTTCTCTAAATATGAATGTAACTATATTCAAATTGAGATCGCACTTCCCACTCCTCAAGTTCATTGGAGATGATCGTCAATCATCTAAGGGTTGCTGTGGAAAAATTAATTTTGATAAATTAGTGAGTGTTAACGTGCCTTGTCATAATGTCAATCGAGGAAGGAATTTCTTCAACTCCTTGATTGGTAAGTGCATTTCAAGGGAAAAATTTTCACTAATACGAGAATATGTACTTCTTTTGTTCACTCTATAATTTTGCTTATATGACTTGAGTTTGATATTGTCCATATTCAAGTCTTCATTTTTTTCGTTAGTCAACTAACATAATGGGCAAAGAAGCTCAAGGCAACTAAGTTTTCAAGAAAGAAATTTCGTTGACACGTTGATTAGTAAATGCATGTGCCAAGGGAAAATTTTTAGTAATGCATAAGTACCTACTTCATTGTTCATACTATAATTTTGTTTCTATGACTTCAGTATAGTTACTCTAAGTCTTCATTTTTCCATTGCCTAATGTTAAGAGGTCTAAACTTCATTGCCACGTGTCACAAATCCGGACTAGATCTCCAAATAGATCTCCAAATAGTATTCGAAAGGGATAAGGAACTCGGAAGGAAGAGCTTGGAGACAATCCCAACACCCATATTTAACCGCCCAATTCCCATTTCGTAACATCCAAGATACACCGTAATTTGGGGAGAAATTAGAGAGGAACGAATGCTCGCTTGATCTCTAAGGTATGCCATAATCTCTAGATAAGACATCCTCAGTAATTAATACCTCACCATAAACGACCGCATATAAGAGGTAGAGAGGAGATGATTTATAGGTACGCATGAATCTCGACTATTGTTGAGATTAATCAGCTCGGATATCTATTGACTTGAGCATTGGAGTGCTCACTTTTCTTTTGTAGGTCTTCTCTCCATCGGGATTCACAACACATTTGAGTGCCAATTTCATGCTCAAACAATCAAATAACGGTCAAAGGAGTTCAATGACTATTTAAAATTATTTTACAAATCTCAAGGACTAAAAATGTATCTTTTGAAATTTCAAAGACTAAATAGACATTGAGCTCAATTATCACGGACCAAAAGTGTCTTTCTTCCCTAAATTTTTAATATGGATGGATTTCACATTATTTCTTAAATGATATTAACGCGAATGTTATTGATGAGATGTTTTATTTATTATAATTTTGTTAGTTGGTCATTGATTAGATATTGTATGCTCATTCTGCTCCTATTTATGCATTTTTGGCCTTGATTGATGAAGACTTGAGTGTGGGAATAGAAGATTGACCTCCATTGTGCCAACATTATTGAGATCCAGTAGTTTAATTTAAAATTATTTTTTTATTTTTAAAAAAGAAATATATTTAAAAAAGAAAAGAAATGTCACAAACAACACAAAGAGGACGAAGACAAAAGCATCCAAGGGAATAAAATCATTGTGCTAAAAAAGGGAATAAAATAATTTCTTATTTTTGTCCTTGATTACTAAAAATAGTATTTTGAGAGCAATTTATCGTTAAAACGAATATGAATGACTAAAACCTCTGAAAAGTTGAGTTTTTCGTAGGCCCCACTTCGAACAAACATGAAACATTTTTCATTTAAAACAAAATTAAAGCAAAATAACGGAAAATAAAATTTTGGTTTAAATATAAGAACGTGGAGTGGGAGATCCAACTCATTGAAGATATATACCAATTACCGCTTAGACTCAACGGAAACTATTTTAGTTTATACACCTTTAGCTTTACCCTATTTTAGTGGCTAATCCAAAATTTTATCAGACACACGAACTCATCTAAATCTAACTTTAGATATATTTATTATAAACATTAGATTAATATAAAAAATAAGATTATAATAAATTATAGGAAGATTTTCCTTTTATGTTTTTACTAATAGGCTAGTTTGATTCCTGAGTTCTCAAAAGATGCAAATTTAGTCTCTCAAGTGTAAGTTTAAATGGACCATCCACAGCCAAACAAAATTATTGATATTTAATTCACGTGAGAATGTAATTAGAAATGAGAATGTTATTCCATTCTAGAATTGAAATTCATAATTTTTTTATATTGTTTACTAAAACTATGTGTAATCAGAATCGAAATCATATACATTAAAATTACTAATATACCCCTTTCTTATTTCTTGCTATAGATACATTATTGTGTTAATCTTTTTTAATAAAAATAAAAATAAAAATTATTTTATTTTATTAGTAGATATTTTTTTATTATAAAAATTTATTTAATATTAATTAATAATAAAATGACATCAACTAAAATAGTTTT